GTTTTGCGCCTCTGTTGTGCTTTTGTACAAATTGAGTTAAATGGCTGTCATCAGACGCCTATAGAAGTTGTCATCGAACAACTTCTATTTAAAAACTCGTATTAATACCAATATTCATTTTAAATCAAGGCCATAGTATGACTGGCTCTTGTTTCAGATGGCTATAAAACGTACATTAAGTTAACAACAGATCATAGTTAATAGCAGTGTGTAAATATTGATAACTGTAGACAAGACATTAATAGTCACTGGTTTAAATGTGCTGTTTTTGATTCTCCGTAATGATGGCTTTGGACAAGAACCTTAATGCGCCATTAACCAGAGTGTTTTGAACTTCAGGTTAGATGTAATTGTTGCAGGACCCATAAGAGCAGAAGTGTGATGCTGACATCATACAGTAAGTGGAGCAAGATAATTATTATAATGACAACAGTAATTCTACAGATGAGGTCAGCTTATATTAAAGAAAACCCTCCCTTTCTTTTAACCACCACTTTCTCATTCAGATGTCATGTCTGATAGAACGCATGTCTTTCCCACGTTCATTCTTATGTCTTTTTGTGTCAAAGCAAAACAAAAAACAACAACAAACCAAAGGCGCATTGACGTATGGCTGTAATGTGTGTGATCCAGGGTTTAGCGTTCACCTTGAGACTGGTTTGGTGTCAGAGGGTCATAAATCAGAGAGAGAGAGATCAATAAACCTGATCATTAGTCTCATCAGCTGCTAACGGCGAGCTGAGATCATCTGATTCGCGGTAAGATCTGGCACTTCACCCAGGAGAAACTGTTTGTCATGTTCACTGTTTCATGCTGGGACGCTACTGGCGAAGAGAAGCAACCGTGGTTTTTACTGTCACAGGATAAGCAGCTCTGCTTGCTTTTACATATGAAATGGACTAGAAATAGGAAGAGTGATCCTAAATTTTTCAGTTGTAGTCTTTTTAAAAAGGCATCTGAAATAATAAACTAATTGCAATGTAGATTTGTCAAAAATATTGATTTTTCAATACTTAAATATCTTAAACGCTTCCTATACTCATTTGCGCTTTCTCGCTCTCTCATCTCTCCGACAGCAAGTTGACACACAAACTAGTTTCATTTGCTCCTGATGAATATTGTTGATGTTACAGGGCTTGAATTTCATTTTACTCACTCCCGCAGATTTTGTGCTAAAACCCGCGCACATTAAGTCGCCTCTCAGTACCTAATTGAGTTATTTTTCACTGCTTTTTGCACTTAAACAGTCAAATACACAGAAAATAATGTCAAAATGCCGATCTTGGCGAGTATTCACGTAAACACAGTTAGCTGTGTTTTAAATGAACGTAAACAGTTGAGAAAGAAAACGCATGTATAACAGTATAATGGGTCTGTGTGTCAGGTCTTAAAGTGACAGCAGCCTATACCTGCTGCCAAATTATGAGAGATTAAAAATATGGCAGTTTTCCCCCATGGTATCAATGTCAAAATTGTGGCTTATAACTTTGGAAAACCACTAGCCACAGTGGCTTGTGAGCAAAAAGGTTAATGGCAAGCCCTGCTTCCGTCCAAAGTTGCGAATTAAACTTGTGCATGAACAAAATCACATAATGCAGTAATATCACATAAAACATTTGCAAATAAAGCACTGTTTCCATCCCATGCCTTCGAGAGAACAAAATCGTCACGTCCTGGGATATCGGCACAAAATATCTGTAATAAAAATAGATGTTGCAACCGGGGAAGCTACTGTGGCATTTTTTTTTTTTTTTTTTTTTTTACATCATAAATTATTTGCACCTCAGAGCACGCAGACGAAATGCAATAAATGCTGTCATGTTATCTTGCATTTGGAGGTGGATGCCTGGTGTTTGGGAATGCAGTCATGTGAGAACTCTTCTGGGAGGTCATTATACTAAATCATTCTGATGACAGACTTTGACTCAGGCATTTCAGAATGAACAAACCAACATTTGAGATGCGGTACAATGAAAGTAGTCCACTGGTTTTATCCAGATATCCAAGCACATCCTCTGCTGATGTAAAGTATTGTGTTGCCCATCGAGGGATTTACTTTGGTAAATGTGTTTCCATCGTCGTTTATGGGCATGTTCCAAAATTCACATACAAACAGGTGGATGGACACACAGCCCTTGAGGTCAAACCTGGTGCAACACATCTTGATTTGCCGTATTTGAATTGAATGAGATACAGCAGAAGGCAAGATTTTGAGTGAATCATGACACACTCTACATTTTGTATGGGCTATAATGTTATTATACTTTTTTGGAGTTCCACAGAAGAACGAACCCTTTAAGAATCAAAACTCATAGTTTAAGCACATCAGTCTAGGATTAACTAGAAAATATTTATTTTAAACTGGGAGAAAGACTGTGATATTCTTTTCATTCCTGAATAAGTTTTAAGTGGAAGTCTGGAAGTTTCTCTCTCTCTATTCTCTCTCTTTCACACTCTCAGATTCCATGAAAGTGTGAATTATTAATTTCTTCAGGCAGATGAAGAATGGGTGGCAGGGGCATGTGATGCACTCACACTCATGCACACTAACCAATACACACAAACACTCCAACATGCTCATGGGCACAAATACACTACCGTTCAAAAGTGTGAGCTCAGTATTTATTAATATATAATTAATATTTGTATTTAACAAGGATACATTAAACTGGTCAAAAGTGACCGTAAATACATTTATAAGGTTATAAGGATTTTTTTTTTTTTAAATAAATGCTGTTCATTTGAACTTCCTATTCATTTAAGTATCCTGAAAAATTTATCACAGTTTCCACAAAAAAAAATATTAAGCAGCACAATAGTTTTCAACATTGATTATTATAAGAAATATTTCTTGATCATCAGTATAGCATACTAAAATTATTTCTGAAGGATCATGTGACACTGACGACTGGACTTCGCACCATTACAGTTTTGACTGTATTTTTAAGCAAATAAATTCAGCTTTGGTGAGCATAAAAGACTTAAAAAATAAAAAAAATCTTATTGACCACAAACTTTTTATCAATAGTGTAAACATACATACTCATAAACACACACTTTAAGTACAAAACCACTGGGGTCATATTGTTTTTAAATAAAGTTTTCTATAAAAACTAAATACTTGCCGTAAACCTACAACTACAAATTAGCAGTTTTAGATTAAAAAAATCTTATTTTTACTTTTGAGAATGTCCCTTGATGTCTTCAAATGGTGATTTTAGCATACTTTGATACATTTTGGAGACAATTTTGTCCATAAAGTAAACCTACAGCTAGTAAACCCATATACACACACTCAAAACGTAGCTGTAAGGTACATTACTGTGCATTGCATTTTTCTCCTGGCTGCATCTGTGAGAGGTTTTTTAAAGAGAAATCTGCAACTTCCGTCCCCCATAGAGAATCAGCATATAATTCATTAAAAATGTGATTTCAGTTGATTCTATCAAAGGTTTGGCATTGGTGGCAGTGAATATTAAGGAAATATTTTTTAAACACAAGATCACATCGAAATTACACAACGAATGTATTACAATGTTTGTCATAGTATTTTAAAGGGACAGTTTATCCTAAAAATGAAAATTAAGTCATTATTTACTCACTCTGGAATTCTAATTTTGTATGCCAGGGTTCCTCAAATCTTGCCCTAGAGGGCCAATGCCTTGCAGAGTTGAGCTCCAACCCTGAACACATCAAACACACCTGAGCAAGCTAATCAAGGTCTTTAGGATCACTAGGAAATCACAGGTGAGTTTGATCAAGGTTTGAGCTAAACTCTGCGGGGCGGTGGCCCTCCAGGACCGGATTTGAGGAACCCTGCCCTTCTTTCTTTTTCTGACCACTAAAGGAGAAATCTTAAAAAATGCCCTCTCGCGCTCGTCCATATAATGGTAGTGAACAGCGACCAGCATCAAACTTTAAAACAAGATGCAAACGTATCACAGAATGATCCCAGGCGACACGTGGTGTATAGTCCAAATGTTCTGGGGTTATATGATTGGGTTTGGTGAAAAACAAACTGAAATTGAATGTATTATTTAAAGAAAATCCGGTAGCACTTTATTTTACAGTCCTGTTCCGCATGTACGTACTTATTATAGCAATTACAATAACTGGGCTATAACTAGGTACTAAACCTGAACCTATCCTTAAACCTAACCTAACCCATGTAGTTACATTACCAGTGCTTTCTTGGGTAGTAGTACACATAGGCCTTCTGTAAGATAAAGTGTAACTGAAAATCCTGACCTTGACTTTTTGTCTTCTGTGCACAGCTATGCGACGTGTGCGTTCATGAGAATATTAGCACTGCAGTTGACTTTTCTTCACTGAGTTGATTGAATATCAAGACTGGCACTCTAGTTGTCTGATGACAGTTGACAGATGTGAATACGATAAGTTCTTGTTGTGACGAAGACAATGGATATATTCACCTCAGAGAAGAAGGTACGTGGATTGTAATTCATGTTGTGTTTTTCTTAGTCTTGATTTCTCACAAATCGTGTGCTTTCGTCGGAGTGAACTGTGGTGCTTATAGAATTTCATGAACACTAGTGTCGCACAGCCGTGCACAGAAGACTAACGGCCAAGGTCAGGATTTTCTTTAAATAACACATTCAAATTCTGTTGTTTTTAGACCCTATCGTATACCCCAGAACACTTGGAATGTACGGTATGTGTCGCAGTTTTTTAAAAGTTTGATGCTGATCGCTATTCACTGCCATTATATGGATGAGTGTGAGCGGGACTTTTCTTTTTTCAAATTCTCCTTTTGTGATTTGAAAAAGATACGGCATGAACAACACCAGGGTGAGTAAATGTTGATTTAATTTTCATTTTAGTTTTAGTTAGATTTAATCCAATTCCACTTGTGTGGGCAGCGTGTGGACTTGGGGTGTGCAGAAAATGTTGATATTTATAAAAAAAGATGTAACAATGACAATAATGTAGGTAATGCTCATAATAATTATAGTAATCAGGTGATTTGTTTTGCCCCGCAGGTCAGTCGTGTTTTGAAACCCGGAGGCCGTTTCATCTCTGTTACATTTGCGCAGCCACATTTCCGTAAGAGACTCTACGCTCGAGCAAAGTACGACTGGTCTATCAAGCACTATCACTATGGCAGCAGCTTCCACTACTTCCTGTATGTTCTCACTAAAGGGGAGGAGCTTAGCCCAGAGGATGCGGCACTGGAGAAGAGACTGCTCCAGGAAACTCAGGCTTCACCCACGGGTGTCACATTTCAGGAAGTGGATTCTGAGGACTTCCTAAATAACATTGGATTATAGGGACTTGTACAGCATTTGTCAATCAAGAGACTGCTGACCGAAGTTGCACATACTTCTTCATGAATTTTTTTATGCTCCTATCCTTCGTTCACCCAAAAATGACGAATCTTTCATTTAATAGTTTTCTCACCCATGTTGTTCCAAATTCATCTTTCTTTCATGGAAGATGTTTCTTTTTTCTCTTTTTTACTTTTAATCTACTTTTGTGTTCCAGGGAGGAAATAAAGTCATACAGGTTTTTGAAACAACATGTGTTTGAGTAAATGATGACAAAAATTTATTTTTTTGTTGAACTATCCCTTTAACAGTTCGCTGGCCTTCTTTTTTTTAAACAGGATCGCTCTGTTTATCTGGTGACGTTAAAAAACGCTTCAACTTCCCTTTTAGATCCTGTGAACTTTTGAAATGCCATGTTTGACGTTTATGCCACTCTGTATCGGTTTTGAGTTGGTTCGATACATTGGCTTGGAACGACAATAAGCTTGTAAACAAATATCTTGTCTGTTTTTTAAAAGCTTTTCATACCATGCTTTTGTAGGACTCTTTCACGTACAGTTTAACTCTATTTTGCATTCTCTCTCTCTCTCTGCCCTATTTCTCTGTGCGATTGTGTTGATTGGAATGACAATGTTGAGTGAACTGTGCAGAGACAAATCTGTCACAAAAGCTTCTCAAACAACAAATAAACAGACAGAAAGAAAACAAACAACCCTGCTGTGTGCCACAATATGACAGACGTGTATGTGTGTGTGTGCGCGCGCTGCTTTGGATGAGGAATGGCTGCAGTGAATCGGAGGAGGCCATTAATAAACCAGAAATCATCTATTTTTAATTTTGCTCTGGAATGTAATTACAGTCTATTTTTAAGACTTGAGGAAGGTGCCTGAATTTCAGAACAGCTTCCTGTGTGCCAATGTGAACATAGATTGAAATGTTACACTGTGATTTTTAATAGTAAATAGAGGAAAGTTAGTCTTGAATCAGGGGAGCCCAAAGCATATTTAAACCCACTTTATGTTGTGAATGTTTGCCACGGCATTACTAGGTGGTTGCTAATATGTCCCAAGTGGTTCCTAGGTGGTTTCTTCATAAGCCATCTCCAAGTATGATATTTTTATTCTTAGGTAAGTCTTAGGTAAATCTATGGGATTTTAAAATCCATTTTACTGTCTTACTGGGAAAATTGGAAGTTTGATCGCTTTGAAAAGTAATAGGAAGATCTTTCCTCCAAATAAAATTGCACAATTTGCGGAACTATTCATGTTCGTGTGGGATGAGTTATGCACCCAAATTAATACTTAAGTGATTGATTTTGAAGCCCTAACCCAGTGAAAAACTAATGGCAAACGCAAAATATACCAGTAGCAGTTTCATAAACTTTTAGTTCAGAGTTGATCATGTCCAGATTGAATGTATCACCTGTGAAAGCTGATGATGTAGTCACAGGTCTTTCCCCTTCACTGAAGCACTAAGAAATGACGTCAGGCCAGGGATGGTATCAGATGGCCGCTGGTATCGGGTGAGCCGTAGGTATCTGGTGTAGATTTATTCTGTGATGATCGTATCCTCACACCATGCTGTGTGATGGTTCTTCAGGAACTTATCGCTGCCTAAACACCACAAAGCTGCTGCGGAGAACAGGAGACCCTGATTAGTCTAATGGCTGATTATGTTTTGTTTACACCCTTGCAATGCAAACCCACATGCAAGTTTTACTTTATTTTGACATTCTTATGATCTTCAATAATGTTTTTTTGAATATTTGATTATGAGTAATTTCAGTAGTGTACTTGTAAGATATTTTCTGAGATGTTGGCTTGTCTTAGAGAAGAATGAAATCAGTCCTTGTATGGTGCTCACCAAATTTAATTGGATAATTTGGCTTTTAAATGTCATAAACAGTTGTTGTTACCTACAACAAAGCAACATTTCCGATGGATGGATGAGTAGATGGATGGATGGTTGGGCAGGCGATAGATAGATAGATAGATAGATAGATAGATAGATAGATAGATAGATAGATAGATAGATAGATAGATAGATAGATAGATAGATAGATAGATAGATAGATAGATAGATAGATAGATTGTAATCATCACTATTATTGCACCCACAAGAAATGAATCCAAAATGATAATATGTCCCTTCAATATCATTATTGTAAGATTGGGATCTGCCTGTTCAGGCTCATGTTTCTGTAGGGACAAATGTGTGTTGTTGTTCAGCTGGGGGGAGGGGTCAGGACACACGATTACATCATCATCCAGCAGCGGCAGCCGGCAACAGCATAGACCGTGGTATTGATAGCAGACACATAAACCCCTGCTCACAGCCGATCCACTGACAACACTAGGGTAAACATTTCACTAAGCTGCGTTGAGGACAGAGGTGCGCGACTGCGCGCGTGTGTGTGTGTGTGGGTGGGTGGGTGTGTGGGTTTGGTCACTACTGCTTTTAAGGTCAAAGCAGGGGTATTTTTGGATAAGAGGGCAGCACTTCAAAACCTAATTGATTTCATTTATTTGTTGAAAACAAACTGTTTACCTAACTCTTCTATCCCTGCATCTCTCTGTTATGTGTAGGATTATGTAATGAGTTTCAAAATCTAAATTGTAATGTATTTGTAGACTGATATGTGTTTTTCAATGGCCCATGCTAATGTTTAGAGAGCTGGGTGAGGAATATAATGCTAATATAGACATAATGACAACATAAATGTTTACAATATGTAATGTTTACAACTTTTACATTATTTTCTTAAAATTATCTAAATTCCGGAACTGATATAAGGGTGAAATACAGCTTCTATAAATTAACCAATCTCAGATGATGTATCCAAAATAGACATTTACATTTACATTTAGTCATTTAGCAGACGCTTTTATCCAAAGCGACTTACAACTGAGGACTAAACCTCAGTTGTAAGCGACTTACAACTGAGGACTATTTATAATACATATATTATAAATACTGAAAAAACTGACAACTCATGTATTTTAAATATTATATATCAGACTGTCACTGAGACTGCAGAAGAGCTGCAGGTTCTGGAACAACGTTCCTGTCATAGATCCAACTCTATTTCTAATCCATAAGCTATCCCTAAAATCAAAGCAAAATGATAGGATAATCATATGAATGTTAAGTCCCAAGCCAAGCCCTGAACCTAATCCTGAAATATGATTGGATATTGGAAATATTCCACCAGGACCGACCCGGATCCAACTGGTCTTGGATAATCACGATAAAGCGGAGCCACAGAGTAAATGAGAGTTTGAATTTGGTTTGCAATGTTTCCAAATTCCATTTGACCCCTTGCTTGTTATTTCCTGTTGTCTCTCTCCAATGCCTAATAAAAAGTAGATAAAAATGGACAAAATAAAAAAGAAGTTTTGCTTTATTTCAGTGCCATAATTTTCCGTATATTTATGGTTTATACGATCCAGTTCAAACACCTTCACTTTGACTCACAGTGGTGTTAAATGAGGATTTACTGCAAGATATAATTTTTTTTTATCATCTCTAATGAGGGAGATCAAAGTAAGGAGCACCAACTGAGAGCAACAAGCTGGGATGAATCAAAGACAATACTCTTAAATCAAATGTCTTTCTCACCGGCAGAGAGCTCATTCTTTGAGAATCTTAGAATGTCATCTCTCCCTCTTTCTCCCGTTATCACGCTGTCATTATCTGCCGAGAGTTGAGCTTTCCATATTGGGTCAGGCCACAGCGTGGCTCAGTCACTCCAGAGCTGCCGCGGGCCGCCTGTCTGTTCAGATAGTGTATCAGTAATCTCCAGCTCTGAGCAGCCTGTGTGAAGCGGTAAGGATTCCCCTGGGCATTGGAGCCATTCAGGAACACTGCAACAGCCATGAAGGTGTATTAATAGACTGAGATGGTGAAGCTGAGTGTCCTTGACTTCGGTTGAGTAACTGACTGATGGACTTTCTGCTGTGCGAGGACCTCGTCGAGTCTTTTCGAATCAACACGCACAGATATCGGGAGTCTGTGATGACCGCTGAGGGTTAAACTGAGGTTAAAAATCGTTTGAAATTTTACTGGCCAAACTTGAGCTTGGGTCAACTGGAGTTATAGAATGTTATCAGGATAGGATGAGTATTTGAGTTTTAATTGATTTAGGGTAAGCCTGACTTGTTTCCAGATGGATCCTGAGCCTCATTGCACTCATCGGACATGACAGACCCAAAGGTCACTCATGGGCGCATGACGGCACAGATCACGGATAAAAGCGATTGATTCTCTTGCGGTTGAATCACACACATTGTGTGTGAGTGTGTGTTGAAGCAAAACATCAATATTCCTGTGAAATTTAACTGCACTAGATGTTTCAGAGCGTTCGGTGTAAACATAGATTTATCCAAGCTGTTTGGAAGTAATAAATGAATAACCTCGCTCGCCAGAGAAAACCATCTGAAAGGACCCCTAACATCCTGATTGTGTTTTCAGTCTGATTACTGTTCGCCCAAAAATGAAAATGCTGTCATCATTTACTCGCTCTTATGTTGTTCCAAACCTGTATGAGTTTCTTTCTTCTGTTAATAACAAAAGAAGATATTTTGAAGAATGTTTACCAGAAATTTGACGATAGCCATTGACTTCCATGGTATTTTTTTCCTACTATGTACATGTCAGTAAATGGCTATACGGTCAACTCTTTGATTACCAACATTCTTCAAAATATCTTCTTTTGTGTTCCATAGAAGAAGAAAAAACTCATACAGGTTTGAAACAACATAAGGGCGAGTAAATCACAGACTTTTCATTTTTGGGTGAACTAGCCTTTTAAGGTGCCAGATCTTATATTAAAGGGAAAGTCAGATTACTGTAAACAAGTATTCCTGTAGCTCATAGTAGAGCATGATGCCAGCAACACCAAGGTCATGGGTTCAAGTCCCAGGGAATGCATGTACTGATAGAATATTTACCTTGAATGCAATGTAAAAGCGAATTGACACTGGACTAACAGACGCCAACCAACAGCAGCTGACATGTTCTGCAGGTTTTGTCGGATCAGTGAAGAAAGAAAGTCATACTGGTTTGGAATGACATGATTGTTAGTAAATGATGACATGGCATTTTCATTTTGGGGTGTACTATCCCTTTAAAGATTTCAAGGAAACCGTCAGATGATTTACCGTCAGTCTGCTTCATCAAGGCCTATAATCCATCTTCCAATGTCGATGTGCAGAGGTCCTAAAGTAAATGTAGCAGCACAGCTCAAAGCTCTCATGAGGCCTTATGCCACACGAACAGTCTCCCTGTCACCATGGCCGTGAGCTTAGCCTGAGATCAGTCTGAGCGTAATTACATGGGCATCAGCACTGGTGCCAAACTTCACTATGTCCTTTAGGAAATACAGGCCTGGAACGCTCTCTCCATATGGTTTCATTCTCATAGACAACTCCTACACTAAAGATGTGAGGAGACAACGGGCTGAACGAGGATTGCAGTTCTCTGACTGAGCTCCACGGTAAAATACGACCATCCTAACATGAATTATATGGAAGCATTTTCGGCAATTTTTGGAGCTGCTAGCAATAGCAAGTTAGCTTTGAAAGCATGAGATCCCACCCTTCCTTCAGAGCGTCTCTAAAGCCATGCCTTCTTCAAAACACATGAACACACATAGCAGAGTTTGAAAAAGTGTTTCGAGACCGCGTTAAACTACCTCATATCTCAGAGCACATAACATTACAATAATAATGAACATAAACAACTTAAAGAGCGCTGACCTGTACCACCTGACTGCTGCAGATTCATTTTGGCATTGATGATGTTGCCATTGAAACGCATAATTTCGAGTCACGAACCACTCTGAGTATAACGTCACAGGTTTCCATCTCTTCCAAATGACAGTAGTTACGATGTGAACGCAGCATAACCTCGTTGTTTTCAGGAGGAACTGTAAAAGGTGGCTGCTGTTTTGGTGCTCGGTGACTGACGTCTGTCTCTGCATAGCATGAAACGCACTGAAGACGTGTGATGTTTGTGTGAGCAGGGTGTGTGGCGGTATATAAATAGAAATACATATGTTGACAGGCAGGTAGGACATCGTATCATTGCATTCGGACGAAATGCAATGATTGGACAAACATTTTATGGTCCTACACCTTCCACCGACGATATATATATATATATATATATATATAAAACTAGAATTAGACCACTTAGTGATTGCTATCAGGATGTGAAGAGAATTTCAACCAGCATAACAAAAAAAAAATTCTGGAACAAATCACATACACTGCCTTTAATATTTAATTAGACGACAACAGCTTGATCTGGTCATTTAAAACAGCATGTGCATCTTTTTAAGCATGTGACTACTTGTTTCATCATTTTATGGATAGTATTTGTCTTTTATATATGCTCAGCTGAGATGCAAACATCAAGTCTTGTTTATCAGTAGGCCTGTCTCTAAATGCAGATGGGTTCACCAGCAGACTGTGCATGTGTAGCGGGGCCTCAAAATCGATACGTGTCAGACTTGTTTACCTCTTTGTCATGCAGTCAAATGACGACAAAAATCCATATATGTATGTTCTTCCACCATTTATTAGTTCACCAAATACAGTGAAAATGGTATTTTAATATGCAATGATTCATTCTTAGAATGTCATGACATTTTTTGTCGCTTTTTTGCTTAATAAAATGATGTTCCATTATTGAAAAGTATTAAGGTTTCATGCACAACAAACCATAGTCAGTTTCCTTAGAATAATGGTACAAAACAAAGCAAAATAAATAAATAAAATAAAATCAACAAAAGAAACATAATGTCCAAAAACCTGTCAAGTGACAAGTTATTTGAAGATATTCGTAAACAGCGCAGTATTTCTAATATCGCCATTTTTCTAACAAATTCAACAAAGCTCAAGTCACAGTTTACGATTTCCATATAACAGTAGTTCAACACAGATGTGTAGGTGTGCAAAAAACCAGAGAAACATTCATTCATCAAGTCTTTAAAAAAAAAAACATCCCAACCAAACTGAATTATCCTCTCGCCCCTGTCTAAAGATTTTTTCTCTGAAATATAAACATCCTTGTTGATGAATCTTTAAGACGACATACTAGCATATCATTTTAAATAACAAATATTTAGATATAAAAATACAAATATGACTTTTTTAAAAAGAAGCGTGCCAGGGTATACAATTCATGGTGGCACCTCTGTTGGCACCGGAGTGAAGGTTCATGCAAAGAGATGGACACGACAAAAGAAATGAGGAGCTGATGAAAAAAAAAAAAAAAAAAAAATCTAAATACATAAAACATAAAAGGGCTTGGAAGAAACCAAGATGCATTCATGTTGGTTTAATTACACGAGGTGGTAATGCACAATGTTCCTCTGTGCTGTACTGATGATGTGAATCCGTGGCGCAGGTGCGCAAATCAGCTGCAGTGAAGGGCAAAACAATAGATCAGCAAACGACGCTTCAAAGACTATACGCTTCAACACCTTTGGGCATGTGTATGATAATATTCTCAATTTCTGAAAAAGAACATGATGCAAAATATAGCCAAAGAAAATATTCACATTGCACCATCCCTAGCCTACATATAGTTCAATTATCAATAATGGGAGCTCAATATATTTGTATTTGTGTGTGTGTGTGTGTTTGTGTGTGTGTGAGAGAGAGAGAGAGAGTGTGTGAAGTCTACATTGTCTCTAGCAGCAGTCGGATTGAAGTCGACGCTCAAGGCAGATTCCTGTGTGCGTGTGTGTGTGAAGGGCAAGGTCTTTGAGCAAAGATACTGTACAGCTATAGTAACAGAGTGTAAGATGCGGTTCAGTCTTCGGTTGTTCAACTTTGTGTTGCTTACAGCGCTTTTGGAAGATGATGGTCGTGGAACAATAATGACAAGTCCATCCATCTTTATTCACAGAGCCGCAGCGCGCGCAGCCACCACAGCGTCTCCGACATCTTCCTCAAAGCTTTCATTCGGGTGTCGTTTGTATAGGAGAATTGCCAGCAAACCCCAAAGGAAATTCCTTCTCTCCCTTTTTTAATTCTCGTTTTCCCTTTTTGTTTTTAGCCTCCTCGTGGTTCGAGCGTCGTGCCACCGTCCTCCCATCTCTTTGCAATCTTCTTCACATGCACGACCGACAAGTGCTTCAAATCGGTGATAAAAAATTGAAATGTCTGCAAGGCATCGCGCGGGTTTAAACGCCTGGTGATGATTTGTCGGTCATGCCTTTCAGCACCTCATCTATTCGGTCGTCCTCGATGACCACTGTGAAGAAGAAGAAGATAGACAGCTGATGTTAAGACCCACAATCTTCCATCTGCGTATTTGCGCGCTTTGAAACTGCGCAATTAGACTCAACACATGCAGCACAAACGAATTAAAATGTTAAAATGCATATTAGATGCGTTTTCAAATCAACAATGTAACCTAAATTACGGAAATTTCTCACTCGGGTTGCATTAAATAGCCTATATTGATACATGGAGGAAGACTGATGACAGAATAACATCTTTACATTGAAATGTTTTGGCTTGTTTTGAAGATCTGTCCTAACGTCACCAAATGTTCCAATCGTATAACATGCATTTATATTAATAATTCACTTTAAAATGAGAACTCTATCGTTTGATCGCCTTGATGTTGTTCCAAACCTGTAGCCTATGACTTTTTGTGAACTGTTTTGGACGGTCACCATTGCTTTTTTTCCCCGTGCAATGAAAGTGAATGACCGAAGCTGTCATTCTAACTAACATCTCCTTTTGTTTTGCACATCGATAAGAAAGTGAGTAGCCTAAATTACAGAAGTCTCTGTTCCTTTAACTTCAGTAAGTTATCTTCCATCGGCGTAACATTCTCACCTCTCTTCGCTCTGCCGATCTGTCCAAGTTTTGGAGGTCGTTTCCCTTGCGACGCACCGAAGAACGAGTTGGTGTCCTGCAACCCGCAGCTGAAGGACATCTGACTGACATCGTTGTCCGCTCCGTATCCGTTCATTTTCCCCTCTCCGTACGGCAGAACCTCGGACATGGCTGCTGTGAAGGACGGGCTCGCGACGCAGAAGGCGCTAAAGAACTGAAGTAGGTAGGCAGCTACGGTGGATATGGCAACTATCCCCGCAAAACAAGTGCACTTCTTCTTTTTTTTTTAAGTAGATATCCCCGCGCGTAAATGTCAGACTCCTCGCACCGCCAACTTCCAAGTGACTGGAGTGCTCGGTGCTGAGTGCGTCGTGTTGGGGAGAGCGAGTGAGAGAGAGAGAGCGCGAGGCTGAGTGTACGGCTACACCAGCGGTCAGGTGAAGTTTGCTGTAAGATACGGGAGATCCCGCGATCATAAAGGAAACCCGGGCGGAACAGTGAAGTCATCCATCCGGGCGTGTGTGTGTTTAGGAGAGAGAGAGAGAGAGAGAGAGAGAGAGAGAGAGAGAGAGAGAGAGAGAGAGAGAGAGAGAGAGAGAGAGAGAGAGAGAGAGAGAGAGAGAGAGAGAGAGAGAGAGAGAGATGAGGACTCCAAGAGGCGCAAGGGTGGCCCCATCAGGTGAAAGCTGAGAATGGCGAGAGGAAGCACTGAAGTGATAAAAAGCTAAAAGATAGCTTAATATCGCAAGAAATAGCCGATTTATGGAGCTCAACTTTATACAACAACTTGTATTAACCTATATCTGCTGTTAAATGTGCATTGTTGTCACTGTTTTGCTGCATAGCATGTAGGGCCCTATGTGTAATTTCTCAACTTTTTTTTTTTTTTTAAATAAAGTTCACAATAGTTTTGTCCATGCCTTTATAATTTATTGTTGCTACTTTTTAAACGGATTTTATATAGGACTACTTTGTTTTTGTATACTTTGTAGGCTACACTGTTTTTTATAGCATACACGACTCAGACTTTCAATCCTAACTATGAAAACTCATCGAAATATTAATTGTTACTTTTTTGAAAGCAAAAAGTGAATTAAGCATGAGTCATTTCAATTGTGTGAAAATGATTTTGCCCCAGATAAAGTCTTTGCAAAAGTTAGTGTACCAAAAGTGACAACAGTGTCAGTGAAGAACATGCTTGATGTTTGAAGAAAACAAAAGAAAACTAAGAAGGCATTGGCATAATTTGCAATCAATCTGGTTTTTATTTATTTATTATGCAACAAGTTTGAAATAGCCCTAGTTTGATTCTATATGCCAGCCATAACAATAGGTCAATGAAATGAAGGACCGTTCACACCAAAAACGATAACTATAATGATAATTAGTTTTAATAATAGGCCTAGTTCTAATTCTAAGAATAGGAAAATCATCACGGCTATAACTATAATCCCGGAACGATATCGGAGCATTTAAGGCGACAGACAATAGAAATGAACGTTATCTTCCGATGGTGTGCACAAAGCCTAGTTATCAGTCTTGATGAACGTACATTTTTTCCGTGTCAAGTTTAATATAAATGTTAATAAGAAATGTTCAAAAGAATGCAATTAAACGTGTAATTTGTCTAGGCTCTAGGCTACTATGGTCACATTGATATGGTTTCGTTACTTATAGACAAAGTGAGAAAACTATACGTAAACACTGCTTTGGGTTTGTTCTTTAATAGAGAACCCATCCAAAGCAGTGTTTAGGCTACAGTTTTCTCTTCACGTTGCGAATGAACTCGAACAGTAGCCTCTTTATGTTGTCATCATGTTGCCAATTAATGGCCTTTGACTTATAGTTCCCAATAAATGAAAGTTAAGAAGAATCTGGAAAATGTGTCGTATTGTTTTGGTTCGCTTAGCCCAATTACATTGTGTAGGCTTAGGCTACCTTGGAAATGATGATCACCGTACGACAGTGATGCCTTCTGCTGCTGCTGATGGCGTCATCAGCGCACGTCACATACACGTCGCATGTCCTCGGTCTCCAGATGCCGGATGTTATTCGTCACCGTGGCTCACCTGTTGCCTTTACTTCCTTTCAAGTAAACTTATATATATAGTGCCGGCCCTGAGGCATATTTCAGCACCATGGATAGAGCTCACAAAGGGCCAAAAAATAATTTCAATACAGGATAAATAAACCTCTAGCCTATATTTTACTTTATCCCCTGCAGCATAACAACTATAGGCTCCCCCCCCCCCTCAACTCATGCATTTGATTGTTGGCATGGCAACAGTCCTCAGAAAACTGCAGTTCTCAAAGCTCATTTTCATATCTTCACTGTCCTCCTGAGCAAAAGGATTTTCATAATCTGTGCTGCTCCACTGCTCAAGTAAATGAATGAATGACAGTATGCCCATCCCCACAGACAGGTAATTTGAAAACCAGTGGTCTGGTCTCTGAAATAAACCATATCTTAAGGAATCTACGAAAACCTCCAGAGCTCCAGTGTTGTGCAGCAGATGGGTGAATGTCTGTTTTATTTAGACATTTCAATGTCTAACTTAACTGCTAAACTTAAGGTACTACACTGTGTAGCCTAACTTTTTTTGTTCAAAATTAACTAAATTTAAATAATTATTCAATACACCATCAATCCTTCTTCCAAATACCTGTTTGTGTCTTACCCTGATCCACTATTGTAAGACTATTATAAGTGTTTATATTTTAGAAATGTTGAAATGGTTTCCGCGAGAAATTGTGCACACATACACACTATTGAATACATCTTTACAGATGCTATCTAATTCAGTCACTGACTGTAGTGCATGACTGTAGCTTTAAGCCAGGAGAAGATGTCATCAGGTGGCATCCAACTTTCATGGGGTGTTTCGACCCTGAACCACAACACCCTCCAGTTGGCGGGTCGGCAGTGGTGGCCAGTCACTGCCCACCTCCTCCTGGCCCCCAGCTCAACTCCTCCCTCCTATTCCAGAGCCAGCAAGACACTCTTTCTGCTGCCTCGCCCAACCTACGGACAGCTGCCTTCCTCTCCCTTCCTGCTATACCCAGAGCTGTAAGTGTCTTCCACACAGACTGCGCCGGGAAACCCCTACACCCGACCTCAACCGGGAATAACCAGGTCTGCCACCCTTTGGCCCTGCACTGCTCAACGAGGTCCTGGTCCTCGGTGGCTTTCCGCTCATAGGCCACCTCACACCCGTCTTCCCACGGCACCGTCAGTTCAATTAGGATTATCTTCCTTGCCTCCTCAGACCAAAGGACCATGTCCGGCCTCAGCGATGTTTGCACAACCTGGGGGAAGACTAGTTTCCTTCCCAGGTCCACCATCATCTCCCAGGATTGTGCTGCTTGCAAGAGGCTCTTTTTCCTCCTCTTGGGGGGTGGTGGTTTCTCCCCTTCTCTAATGAACTGAATGATTGTTGCCGGCCTTGTACTGTTCTGGCGCTTTCTCTGCCTCTCCCGCTCCAAGATGTCAGCCAGTTCACCGAGAACCTTGTCATGGCGCCACCTGTATCTTCCTTGGCTAAGAGCTGTTTTGCATCCTGCCAGTATGTGCGCCATTGTTCCCCTCCCTCCGCATAGCCTACACAATGGGTCCTCCCTCATTCCCCACCTGTGGAGGTTTGTTGGTGATGGAAGGGTGTCGTAAACTGAACGGAGCAGGAAGGAGATGCGAAAGGGCTCCAGTCTCCAGATCTCAGGCCACGTGATCTTCCACTTCGGCAGGTCCCACTTTGTCCAGGCACCTTGTGCTCCAAGTTCGACGGCCCTAGACCTGCGCCTTTCTTCCTCCAGGTGTCGGACCTCGGCTTGAATCATGTCCCTCCTCTGCCTTGGGTCTGCTTTACCCCACTGCTGGAAGTGTGTGGACCCGAGTCCTTGCCTCCCTACGCATGGGTTCCCGATGATGTCCTTCAGCTTCAATGCGCTTTCTGCTTGCGCCACTGATGTGTCAGCCGCCCATTTGCGTCCTGATCTCGTAGTGACGCCTGCTTCTCTGACTTTTTCATCAGTGGAGTCTTGGTACATCATCACGACCCGGCACTTTGCCACCTTGAACTCTTCCACCACTGATGATAGGGGTAGCTGTACCTGACCAGACCTGGTGTAAAGCCCTACTGACGTGAAGCTTGGTGGGATTCCGAGCCACTTGCGAAGGTGTTTGTTCACTCGCCTCTTGACTCCTTCCACTGCTGTCATAGGTACTTCATAAAGTGTCAGTAGCCACATGAGTCGTGGTAACAGACCGTGCTGGAAGAGCCAAGTCTTGAACTTTCCTTGTAGTCCTGACCCCTCGATCTTACTCAGCCATGCATCTGCCTGTTTCTCTGTCCTAGAAATGTTGCATCTGTTGGTCAGGGATGCATCGTACCATTTCCCTAGGCACTTAATTGGGTTTTCCTCAATTGATGGAATCATCTCCCATCAATTGTCATTCCACATATAACTCTTGTCATATCCGCTAATAGAGAAAAGTTGCTCCAGCTACTTTGACGCCTGTGTGGTGTGGGATTGAGGTTAGTTGTCACAACAAGCGAAAAAGGTTGACATAAAGCACGCTGAATCTCGAAACCTCTGTGGAATCACCCGTTTTAAAATAGAACAGAGGAGAGACTGCTGACAAAAAGAGAACGCTACAGAGCAATAGAATAAAACGAAAATCAACATTGACTTGGATTTTCGGAGATGGCAAGAACTGAGGGGTTTGAACTGTTGTAAAAGCGACGCAGAGACGGTGGTTTTAGTACTCAGCGGTGAGTGAGGTATTTTATTGAGCAGATAAACTGCCATAGAGAGTTCATTGTAAAGCATTATCTATTGTGAAGGGGAGAGCGAGAGCCGAAGTACATATGTTCTTCCGCAAAATGCATGCAGTTAGTTTTTTTAACCCGCTAGAGTTGCATATTGTGCTTTTAAAAAGCTTTGAAAACAGTTTAAAGTGTCTATGTCAGGTTACATTTTTTTTTTTTAGATAAATAAGGGTTCTATTCAAGTATGGAGAGTTTTGAGTCTGAGCAGATCCAAAATCCTCCCACAGCCATACACTTTTGAGCCTCCCAGGCGTGAGACAGATGAGGAGGCAAACAGAAATTTAAATAATTCCTATCGAAGAAACATAAATATCTGGTGAAGATAACCAGTGGAGAGTTGGGCAGGTGTATATCATAACTTAGAGGTGGAACGGTACATGTATTCGTATTGAACCGAAACGGTACAGGCGTCACGGTTCGGTCCATGAATACACGAGTATAAAAATAAATAAAACTAGCGTGCAAATTAATTAATGCGGAACTACTGTTAGATACGCGGGTTGTTGGTGTTGGTGTGTGAGAGAGAGAGACGCGAGAGAGAGAGACAGAGACACGCGAGAGAGAGAGAGAGAGAGAGAGAGAGACACGCGAGAGAGAGAGAGAGACAGACAGACAGACAGACACGCGGGCGCGATCGAACAGTGGAAACATAAAAACTGGAAGAAATGTGCGCTGCAAA